TATCTCTTTCTTTTTTCAATAAAACCTTTTAACATATTTTTTTTACTTATTTTATTTTCAGGTTTTTAGTTTCTAATTTTTATCCACCCTAATGCCACACAGTTATCGGTACGTTTTACCTTTTACCTTAACATGGGTGGTGTATTGCCAACAACGTATCATTTTTAGCCACCCTAACGCCCCGACACGATACAAAATCTTGACTTGGGTGGGACATCCATGCTTGAATCCCAATTTTCAATTGATAACGTTTTTTGTTTAGATTATATTGAATTTGCATCTTTTTTCTGGTGCTCTACTATAGCACTATTCAAGCCTTGGCATGTGATTAAGGTAGTGGTGAAATAATTTGTAATCCGCCATTTTGTAGCTGCGGCCATCTTGAATTTGCATCTTTTTCAAAGTTTACTACTATTCTACAAATCAAGCCCTGTCATTTGATACCCGAATTGAGGTAGCTGTGAAAAAATATATAATCCGCCATTTTGTAGCTGTGACCATCTTGAATTTGCATATTTTCCAAAGTGTACTACTATTCTACTAGTCAAGCCCTGTCATTTGATACCCATACTGAGGTAGTTGTGAAAAAATATGTAATCTGTCATTATGTAGCTGCGGCCATCTTGGAATTACAATGATACGTAATTCATTAAATTGCATTGTCATCAAAACTAAATGTGTATGCCAAAACTTCAATTACTAAATTTAACCCAAATAAACAAACAGGGCAAGCTAAATAAAACCGTTTAAAAATATTCTTTCATTTAATGAATATCTGCAATTTTGCATCGAAATACTGGAGGATGTTTTGAAACTAAGTCAACCGTAAGCAAGATTTACGAGTTAAAAAACTATCATCTCCTTCCACTTCTCAAAAATTCTGTTATTTTGATTATATTTTCGTTTTGACAAATGGGACAAAAACATAAATTTGTTTCATCATTTTTTTAACAAAAATGGTATCATCTTGTACCAGTACCAGATCCTTTATACAATCACTAATGGTATTCCACATATTTCGTATACTGGTTTTTTTTTTTTTCGCAAGTAATTTCCAAAGTATTCAGTAGTTTTCAAAACAGCATTATAAATTCTACCTGTCACGTGCCGTAAGTTAGTCCTCGTTTATGCCATCAATTTCATTTGTTAGTACGCCCATGCTTCGGTACCTGTGATTTAATGCCCTCCCAATTTACCATCTCGATTTTTGGTCCTTTTGATAGGTCTCAGTTTGCCAGCTGCTTCCTTTGGGATAGCTCGAGATTTTGAACAGTCGTCTGTCTGTGGTTAAAGTGATTTTGTGTTATATCATATACGTATGAAGTGGAAAGTTCAATATGATCATCTGCATTTCCGGATTTTTAGTTGGAGGGTAAGACGTCGATTTTTAGGAAATGTAAAGTTGTACTTTTAGATAAAAACATGTGTTTTTTTTCGTTTCATCCTAGGGGATTTTTATGTATTTCTTCTGTTGATTTTCTGGACACAAGAGTGAATGATGTGTGGAATACTAATGAAAACTAACGTATTTTTGCATATCTTCAACAGAATAATCCCACGTTGAGAATCCCGGTGGTGAATATTGTTACTCTGAAGAATAAAATAATTATTTTAAGCCACCCGCTTATGGTACAAACAAAAACCAACAATGCACTACGTGACACAATATCATTTTTAGCTAGCCGGTTTATTCGCAAATTAAATGACGTTCGACAATAAATTGTTCCCTATTTGAAATCGATATCGTATATGTTACTCCCCGCGTGCTAGATTCAGCATCGCTGAGTTCTTAATTTCAGTTTGCTTCCACTGTTTTATTCGAAAGCTATAATTGGTTTTTTATATAGTGAGCATTAATTGACCTTGTTTGACGTCATTTGTTTGCTACCTGTCAAGTGAGCTGCTTCTTCGTTGATAGGTGATTGTTGACCTTTACTATTTCATGTACCTATTACGATGTTGCCGAATAATTGTCGGAAAGTATACTGTCATTTGTTCATTTCATTGTATAATGGGTGACAAGTTACAGTTAACCTGTGCCTTCACTACATATTATAAAACAAAGTCCCCCGCCGCGTCTGTCTGTCTGAACGTCACCATTGTCACCATTGGACAGACCAAAATTATGTTGAGTATCAATGTATATGGACTGTATATCCTATGACATGAATTTGAATGTTGTCCTTTTGCGGGATTTTGGTAAATAGAGAGTGCAAATATTAAATTGAACCGAACGGTGCTTACCTTGAGAATCCCGGTGGAGAATAATGTTATTCTGAAGATATTTCACAGCAACACCCATCCTATGCATCATTTGTGCCGCTTGTCAGCATTAAAAAGCAAGCTTCATGTGAATAATTCATTAGTTTTTGTTTAAATTGGTTGAAATAAGACGATGTTATTCATGCGAAGTCGGGGCGAAGGTGTACCCGTGTGAAGCCGGGAAGCTTTCATCGTTGTTCAACCCCTTTGACATAACAAAATATCTCACTACATATTGTTCTTGGGAAAGAAAGTTTTTGGCTTTCTACTACTCCATCTTGATACAAAAAAATGTTGGAATCTTCCAAAGAAAGGAAGGAAGTAATCAATTTTAAAATAAGTAACTATACTTGGATGTGTAGATCATGCAAAGAAGTAACTTTCAGACACAAACTGAAAGAAAGCCCTCCTGAAACAGGTACTTTCCAATAAACATTGAATTACACGAAAAAAAAACTTTATTTCGAAACAAATACT